CTTAAATTAATAAGGGAGGGGGGAAGGGTCACACTCAGAGGCTTGCTAAGTGAAAGGGGTCACCAGTACAAAAGTTTGAGAACTACTGGTGTATCTGGTCTTTCCTGTCTTTGTATTTCTAAGGGTTAGAATCCATGAAGCCAGGAGAGATTTGTGGGTTTGCTCTGACTTTTACTCCTTATGCAGCAGTGAGGCGTTAGGGGAAATTTGGGGTTGGCATATTGATTGCAGTAAGGACAATATCACTCAGGTCTATTGGTAACTTAATTTACTAAAATATTCCGGAAACCCCTTTCCTCCAAAGAAAACCCAAATAGTAAATCTAGAAGCAATCTCTGAATACAGCATCTACCTGAAAGGTATGATGAATACACACACATTATGCAAAGTATACTTTTATAAATAAAATAATCAAATTGCTGTCTGTCTTCTCCTCTAGATTGTTTACTAAACGAAGAGAATTTCTCAGTGAGGTGCCCCAAGCACAAGGTAAGAGGAAACCTCTTCCCTGCTAGGTCCATTCAGTGCTGTCCTCCTCTGGGCTCTGTCTACATTTGTTTTAATGAAGTAATTTTATACCCAGATAACATGTTTTAGAGGGAGGAGATGCTTTTAGATGAAGCTGTGTGTGTGTGTGTGTGTGTGTGTGGGAGATGCATTTTGGGGGATAAGTATCTACCTAGAAGAATACAGATTGCTTAAGAAGATCTGTGAAGCCTACTGTATGTCTTTGCCATTTTCTGTCTAGACCTTCAGAGAGACTATATGAAACCCAGCTTAATTTCCTATCTTTTATGGTACAGTCAATACATTCCTTCTTTTTGAGTGCTATACTGCAACTTTTTGGTGAAGGTTCTTTCTGGGCTTTACCGGGGATGCAAGAAGGAAGGAAAAATATCTCATGGAAAAGTTTTTAATCAGCTGTTGGAAGCAAGGACTTGCCAGAAATAGAAGCAGTTTGTCATAGTTCAGCAGCAGTTACCAGGTTGAGTACAGTTGCTCAGCTGATTCTATTTCCCTCACATCCTCAGTACAAGTTACTGAAGCATCCGCCTGTATAACTAGGTGATCAAAAACCTCAGGAGGAATGGCGATTCTGGTGGCTAGCAGGAATCTATTTAAATTGTGTGAGAGTATAGACAGCGCAACTTGTAATTTAGATTTTGGGAGGAGGGATTCTGCTCCTAAGCTCTTGCAAGAATGCTTCAGAGAATTCAGTTACTCCGTTCAGGTACTTGTCAGCAGCTCTCTTCTGCTGTGCCTTGGATTAGACTGACATCTGGTGGCTTCTGGTATTCTTACAAGGTAGTTCTGAAAGATAAAATCTGTGTAAAGGAGAAAAGTATATTGAGCAAGTGGTTTTGCCACAATAAGCGATTTTTATGTATTTACCCCCACACTTTTTAAAAAACAGTGGTGGTTTGTTTTTTACGTTAAAAATTCAGATCCCGTCTAGCCTGGAAGACTCTAGGACTTTGGTTATCAATTTGTAAGCAATGATCAGCCTCCCTTTTTCTCATCCTTTCATTTAAAAAGGAAGAAGAAAAAATTCTAGTCCTTATGGTTGCAGAGAGAACCTCAGAAATGTGGAACAAGCATAAACCAATGTACTAATGCCTGCCTGAATCAATAATTAAAAGGTGTGAACTGCCCCAACAGCTGGATGAAACTGGTGTCTTCTTTTTCTGACACTTGTCTAGTGTGATTGTGAAGGATCTGTAACACAAGGATTTCCTGGTTTCGCTGTCCACTGACAAGACATGTTATAGCAGTGGTTCTCAAACTATGGTTTGGGACCCCAAAATGGGTTGTGACCTTGTTTTAATGGGGTCACCAGGGCTGTCTTGAACTTGCTGGGGCCCGGGCCTGGAGCCCGACCCCCACCACCCAGGGTCGAAGCCCAAGCCCACTGGCCAGGGCCAAAGCCCAAGCACAGGGGCTTCAGCCCTTGGTGGCAGGGCTCAGGTTGCTGCCTGGTGCTGAAGCCCTTGGGTTTTGGCCTCCCCATCTGGGGCGGTGGGGCTTTGGCTTTGCCTCCCCCCATCCCCCCCACTAGGGGGGCAGTGGGGCTCAGGTGGGCTCAGGCTTCAGTCCCCCACTCCTAGGGTCATGTAGTAATTTTTGTTGTCAGAAGGGGGTTGCGGTACAATAAAGTTGAGAACCCCTGTGTTATAGGGTTAAAAAAATTAAAACAAAATAAACTTTTAAAGCTTTCCAGCATTCAGTTCTTGCAGATAGGTTGGGTTGGCAGTGCTGTATTAGTATTTGCAATGATGGTCCTCAAACTACGATAGGAAAACATTAAAACACAGCTGCCTTGTGACTAGAATGCAGTCTGTTTTATAAGCTATTTGAACACAGTTCAGTTCACTGGTAAGCTTTGAAGGAACAGAGGATGGCAGTGGAACTGAAACAGGTACCTGATGAAGCTGTAAAAGTGTGACGTTTACTAACAGTAAGCCCAGGGCAGATCTTCTGCCTATTTTATGGGAAGAAATTGGCATTCGTCATCTGCAGCTTCTCTTTCTCGTTGAAGTTCATTTATGATAAAGTTTTGAGTCACTTGTTTGAGCTCAAGAGAGAATGGAAGGATTTTCCTTGCTTGAATGTGGCTCTGCCCTTGCTGAATGCTTCACTGATCAGCATTAGTTTGCTCCAAATCTTCCTGGGAAGAATTACATGGGGGTCCTCAGCCTGGGGGTCATGACCCACCTTACCCTTCCAATATTGTAAATGGGAGGGTGCGGGGGCCCAGCTAGAGATGGTTGTGGGATGATCCTGATATGGAAAAAGCGGTCTTGATGTGGAAAAGGCTGAGAACCACTGTGTTAAAATGACTCACTGGAAAAAAAGTTAAACTGTGACTTTGCGAGAGCCAGAAGGGTGAAAGTTGAGTAATTGAGAGAGGAAGGGACTTTTAGTTAGACTGTTTAAAGCTCTTTGCTTTTTGTTAATGCCTATTTAACCTCAGTAGCTAATTAACACTAGACACTCCATCTCTTTAATTGAGGTTTGAGAGCTAACTTTATAAATCCTCTGACACATCCAGTAGGTGCTCCAGCAGAGCCAGGGATGGCCATGCTCAACATTCCTGATATTTTTAGGGTTGAGTAACAGTGTTGGGGGAGAGAACTCTTAAGCCTCTTGTATAGACCATAAAAGGGCACATGCCCAATGTTTCAGAAATCCTTTGCAAGTCACCTTTAAAGGGTTTTATTGAGAAGTTTTGCTTTTTTCTTGTGAAATTCTGTGTATATATATTTTTTAAATTTAAAACCAAACTCTCCACTCTTGCTTAATGACAACTCTTGTCATGGGGAAAATCCTGTCTGAAAATCTGTATAACTCATTCCAGTGTACTGACTTTTCTTTCTCTCTTTCATTCTCTGTGTGCCTCTCTTTCCCTCCCCTGTCTCTTGCTCTCCCTCATATCTCCCTGCTCCTCCTCCTTTTGGCTTGGTTCATCAGCCCCTCCTTCCTTGCTCTCTTCCCTCCTTGCAGAACAAGATGGTGAAAGGCAGTCTCAGCACAGAGCAGTCGGAGCGGGGGTGAGGGGGGAAGTGTGCTCCTGGGAATGGAAATAAAAGCAAGCACAGGTGAGTTGGGGGAAGGACTTCCAGTTCCCCCCATGCCCTCTCTCCACTTCTGTGGGAGAAGTTGGGGCAGTTTGTACACACGCAGAGGTTATAACTGGGATTGCTTTGATTTTTGTTCCTCAGTTTTCTTCAGGCTAGTGGTTTTATTTTTGTATTTCGTTAGCAATTCCCTCTGTTTACAGGTGAAGGGCAAAGCTTAATAACTGCCCTCCTCTACTGTTGCTGGATTTCACCCAACTCCCATATTCAGTGCCAGAAATGTCCATTCATGCTTTTGTCTCTTCGTGTGCGTCGGAATCTGGCAGAAATTTTTCCTTAATTTTATGGAACCTAAATAGTAAACTTCCAAAAACCAACCAACTAACAAACAAACCAACCCCACCACCTCACTTAGGTGTAGGATTGCCACCTTCTTAAACTTTGTACTTGGGAATAAACTAGTCTTATTGTATTTACAGTTTTGTAACATGGATGTTGCCAGGTCAGAATTTAATTGCATTGATATTTCAAAATGATTATAATTGTGCAGTGATTATAGTCTTGCAAGTCTCTCACTTTTAGCATGCAGGATACCTCTACCCAAATTGGGGCAAGAGGTGATCCTTACTAGGACCTGTTGCACTCTTCCCCCTCCCATACCAAGCCCTTTCTCCTGCCTGTCCAACCAGACTGGAGCTGAAGTAGGTAGAGTTGTATCTGTGTGGCCACAATATCATGAATCTCTAACATTTATCCTTGTATTTACTTCCTTACCATTGTTGGTTACCAAAATGCAAAGCTATTGAGAAATGCACTTCCTCATACTCTGGCTCTGCAGAATATCCATTTAGTTATCTAGATAGCTTGCAGATCACTATCAATATGCAGCACACCCAAAATCAAAAGTCATTGCTATCTGATGGCAGCTTGATGGCCTAAGGCCAGGCCTATACCACAGACCTTTATCGATATAACTACGTTGCTCAGGGGTGTGAAAAATCCACACTCCTGAGTGATGTAGTTATACCAATCTAATCCCTCATATAAACCAGCGCTGTGTCGACGGGAGAGCTTCTCCTGCCAATTATAGCTACTGTCTTGGGTAGGTGGATTAACTACGCTGGTGGGAGAAGCTCTCCTATCGGTAGGGCCCTATGAAATTCGTGGTCCATGTTGGTCTATTTCACAGTCATAGGATTTAAAAAATCGTAAATTTCATTATTTCAGATATTTAAAACTGAAATTTCACGGTGTTGTAATTGTAGGGGTCCTGACCCAAAAAGGAGCTGGGGGTGGGGGTCGCAAGGTTATTGTAGGGGGCGTTGTGGTGCTGCTACTCTTACTTCTGCGCTGCTGCTGGTGGCGCTACCTTCAGAGCTGGGTCGCTGGAGAGTGGCGGCTGCCGGCTGGGAGCCCAGCTCTGAAGGCAGAGCCGCTGCCACCAGCAGCGCAGAAATAAGGATGGCATAGTATGACATTGCCACGCTTACTTCTGCGCTGCTGCCTATAGAGCTGGGCACTCAGTGAGCAGCCGCCACTCTCCAGCCTCCTAGCTCTGAAGGCAGCAGCGTGTAAGGGTGGCAATACCGTGACATCCCCCATCCCAAAAATAACCTTGCGACCACCCCCCCCCCCCACCACACACACACACACTACTTCCGTTTGGGTCAGGACCCCTACAATTACAACACCGTGAAATTTCAGTTTTAAATATCTGAAATAATGAAATTAACGATTTTTTAAATCCTATGACTGTGAAATAGACCAACATGGACCACGAATTTCATAGGGCCCTACCGATATGAGAGCTTCTCCCACCAACGCAGGTAATCCATCCTCCCAATA